CTCTGGTGGCAACAAGTTAGAATCCGCTTTGCTTTTCCTCTCACTTTGATGCATGGAATCCTGTAATGTTCTGCCTATGTGTGTGATATGTATTAGGTTATCATGAGTCTTTGTCATGAAAAATTCTACTTGCCTTCTGCAGGTGGGTTGGCCAAACACCCTGCAGCTTAGCAGGTGCAAAGAGTTTGCAAATAGCGCTATCTGTCATGTTCTGAAAAGAGGTCCTCAAAATGTAGCACTGCCGTCCTCCTTTGAAAACAAAACCACTTACGATGCATAACGCCCTACAATTAGCACATCACAACAAAAATCCTCGCCGTTCTTTTCTTGTTTAGTCAGAACTTGCAATGGCTGGTAATACTTTATTTAAAAGGGAACATGCAAGGCCATTACAGGAATGTTTACCACATCTCACATCTAACTCAGGGCTGAGAAGCATTAAAAAGATTTAGCATGCTGTTTGACTATAAACCAAATCATAGACTAGGTATGAAAGGTGAATTTTATAATGCATAAATACAGAAAATTATTATAAATAATGACAACTTATAGGTAATAAAAATTAATGAAATAAAAAGCCACTTATGATTTACTCATCTTAAGTTGTTCCAAACCTGTATAGATTTCCTGTGTGATATTTTGAAGAGTGTTGGTAACCAAACATTTGACGGTAGCCATTGAGTTCCATAGTCTGGAGAAAACTACTGTGGAAGTCAATGGCTATCGTCAACTGTTTGGTTACCAACATTCTTCAAAATATCTTGTGCATGTAAAATGTAAAGACATGCATAAACATGAAGAAAAAAATATTAAACAGAAAATATCTTTTAAAATTTATTCTTTTAAAATATCACATAAATTGTCCTTTTTATGTCAAAGCAAGGTTAGTTATGGTAGTAAATTGTCATTTGGTGCAACTTCCTAAAAACATAATGATATTATGAATTAATATTCATTATATTTGTAAAACAACAACAACAAAATATTATTTTATTCAAAATGCATTATTACTTTTTGCTTAATAGTTACACCACATGCCATTTTTCATCTATATAAAACCAACATAAATTCAATGAGTACATTTCTAAGACATGGACACTCTTATATTTCACTGACGAAAATATATTTTGATGCGCATTGATCATATCTTTGAATATATGGTTCATATTCTCTTTAATATGATCATATTTTAGTTGACTTTTTAATCTGCCTATTTTCTGTTTTGTGTATTATTTATGGCTCCTGGTGGTGTCCTATAGTCCCTGGATGGCGGTTGTGTCCATTCAGGTGAAGAGAACACACATCTCACTCTCTCTTTCAAAGACAGCTCTTCAAAAGAGACAAGTGTATGAATCTTTGATGGTAACCTTTCCCAGAATACCTCTCCGTCTCTCTCTCTCACTCTCTATTTTAGCCCCCAGGCAACAGGATAAACTGTAACGCCTGTCTGCAGGCACTGTTACAGAACTTAGCAAATGTGTCTTTTCATCCTTAACAAAATCTTGAAAATTAACCTCTTTGAATGGATAAATGTCATTGAATAGATAAATGTAACTCTTTTAATTTAAAGGTGAAGTGTGTAATTTTTTGATGTTGAAATATCATACCATCTTAATATGGAAAGGCAACTACAATAAATAGGCTGATTCCCCTGAAAAGTATAATCTGTTAGCAAACTGTTTGTTTGAGCATGCTGACCAGTCCAACACAGCAACACTGGATCAAGCAATGGTGTGAGTTTTGGTGTGAAATTGTTCAAAGTTTAAAAGTATATATATATGATAAAATTAAAATCGTGTACGTGCATGTAAAATGTAAAGACATG